CCTTTTGCAACCATCGATTTCTATTTCGTTATGAATACACGAACGGCAGTTTTAGCCACTGATGATTTGACTAATACAAACATTTACACACAGAGAATGTAGAACGTGGACAAAATGACAGAAATAACGTACCTGCGATCTTGTCATGTCTTCCAACTGTTCCTTATCGCAGACTGTCACAGGTTAAGTAGACCGTCTTAGAATATTAACTGCTGGTTTTCCCAAACGATACTGTAGGTGGTATATACAGGGAAATAAACTACAATACTTACGGAATGCTCATGAACATAAATATTACAAACGAATTAAAAAAAACAACACAACATACAATGACAAACTACACATTTATATCAATTAAATTTTTAATTCTAAATTAGGGTGTTGTAGTACTCCTTCTTTAACGATTGGAGGCGATAATGCGCGTTTAACACTGGTTGCCAGCCAGGGTTGAAACTATAGACGCAGAAGAAGACTCAGGAGCTTGCCCTGGCAACGACTGACGCTAATGTGGCTACTGAGTATCCGCAACATTTGATTTTATAATGCAAATATTAATTTGGTTTCATAAAACTACTAAATAAAATGAAAAAATCGTATGGTGGATTTGATAATATTAGCTCTGTTGGGTAATAGCAGCCTTACATGTTTTTAGCTTAGCAGCTAGCAACATAGGCTACGATGCCACCGAGAAAATAGAAATATATTGGCTGCTGTTTATAAACAGCTCATTGAAAGCTTCGTGAAGATTTACAAAACTGTAGCGACGCTGTTCTTTTTAGAATGTGGAAACGAGGTGGTCGGAGTTCGGCCCTCGACCGAGCTGAAGCTGTGCTGTCTGCTAAGAAGAGCAGCACAGGAGCCACAGAACCAACTCGTAGGTCTGTGGCCATCGCACCGGAACTTACAGTAAGTCTCTGCAGTTATTTTATAAAATCACTAAAAACAAAGTATGTAGCGTTGTTATGTCCCTTGGACCCGCAATCGTTTAGTCAATAAGAATACAAAAAACCTGGCATACATACACCCCGAATCGACCTGTGATTGATGTTCCTGTAAACCCATTACCCCAATACCAACGAAATTGACGCAGTGATTGGACAATCTTTTCAGGCATGCTAATATCACCATAATTTGATGACCTACAAAAGACAGTCAGGACTTCCACCCCATATTTTTATCCTCTTGACCATTAGAATGGGATTGATCTTGTAGTAGTATGAACCTTTTTGCTGATTATGTTGCTTTTGTTTTTGTTTTGTTTTTTGTTTGTTTGTTTTCTGTAGAGATTTAAGGGTGGTTCTACTAAGGTCAGATCTGCTCCTCCAAATGCTCAAACCCTACTCTCAGATTTAAGTGACCTGTCCTCAGTCAGTCTGAGTCCCAGAAGTAGAGTTGATGTCACTTTTCCTGGAGGGGTTCAGAGAACCGCAGATTTTCCTGCAAAGGTACGCACCTCAGGGTCACCACATCACAATTTAAGAGCAACCGTTTGTGATGTATTTGGTCATTTTGGATGGCTATTTTTTTCCTCTTGTCAGGGCTCCAGACCTCAAAGTTCTCAAGAAGGAAAAGAAGGCTTAGGAGGAAGGAGCAGGTTTTTGAAAAAGGTTCCACCATCTTCAAGCTACAGCCGTGGGGCCACCTTTAGTAAAGGCCAAACACATCCAGAAGATCCAAGGTATTGCACAGCAATAATAACGAGAAAAAAGAAGGGATAGAATATTTCATTTATTTAAAATCCCCACAAATAGAAATCTGTGATCTCATCTCCACAGCAATGTGCCCTCGTCTCGTCACAGCTCTCAGACTGCAGTTATCAGTAGGCTAGCTCAGATTGAAAGCCGCATTCACAGTCGTCAGCAGACCCAGAAACAAGCTACATCAGAAATCGTGACCATACCATCACCACCAAAAGTTGAAGAAAGGCCAGTCTCAGCACTGTCCAGCAGTGATGAGGGTCAGAAAGGGAAGCGGTTTCTAAAGAACAGGACAGCTGTGGCAAACGTTGTTGCTGTGGGTTCTCCTCCAGGCTCATCATTTGGTACTGGGCAACCAAAAACTGCTGATGTAGTTACTTCAGCCATGTTGGAGAAGAAGCCACCAAAGGTAGTAAGCGGTGTGTGTTTGGAGAGTGATGAAGAGGACATGAGGAAACTGCTTGGAGAATGTGTGGATTCAGGAGATGAAAGTCTGATTGGTCCAGGAAGATTGTCTTCTGTGAGAACTATGGCTAAGGTTACTTTCAACACACTAATACCTGTTAAAATAACCCAAATATTATTAAAAGAAACCTGGTAATCAATCAGAACATGGATGATATTGTGTTTTGCAGGAATTGAAGACCAGACCACCTCCGGCCCCTTCACCACCTTCTAATGCAGCACCACCTCGCTCTCCGACTTCTTCCACATCCCGTGGATCCCCCTATCGATTCACTGGGAACGTTCAGGCCCATTTCAGCCCCACTGCTCTCTCTCCTTCCCCTTCTCCCCCCCCTGTATCTCCATCACGACCAAACTATATAGAAAGAGCAGATAGTACCCCGTGTTCCCGCTTATCATCATCATCAGGCAGAAACGAGGTGCTCTCTTTGGAGGAGCTTTTTCCTGTTGAAGATCCACATAGCGACAGGAGCTCTGTTTCTTCTCCAGGTTAGAAGAAAAAAAAAGACAGAGTGTCTGTACTTGCATTATCAGTTTTAGTACTAGTTTTATATTTTAGTGATAGTTAACTGATGTCTGATGTTGTTTGGCTTTATCTTTTCTTAATATAAATTTCACATAAAAACTATGTGAGGAACAAGCATGTTGTTCTGAGATGAAAATGTTTTCTCATGATCTTGTTGCAGACTTTAAGATGAATGTGATGACAATAGACGACCTTATCCCTGCTGCCTTCACTGAGGAAACACAGAGAGAGGTGTGGAACCACAGAAATGCCTTCACTGAGGAAACACAGAGAGAGAAGGTGTGGAACCACAGAAGTGTAATTTGTTAATGTGTCAAATTTCAGCAATTAAATTAGTGTTTTAAGTAATCATTGTAATTTTTAGCAATTAATAGCACTGGATATTATATATTTGATCCATTAGATGTTATAAAATGGTAAAACTTTTCCATCCATCATTTATTAACCTGTTAAAATAACCCTGTCAGTATATGAGTTGACAGTTTAAAACGTCAACAATCTTGTAATGTATTCACCTCAATTTTGTAAAGATGAGAAGTACTGTATTTGTTTGGAAAGTGCTGAATTGATCAGTGACTTTTTTCATTGTTTATCACTAAAGTATGTCCACATGATAGATTTCCTGATGGCAATTGACATAGTGACTATTGAGCCACACTGACCCTTAGCTGATAAACCCACATCTTCCTGTTTTAGCAGAGAGAAGTCAAGCCCAGTTTTTCTGATCCTGCATCTCTAAGAAAAGATCAACCTCTGCTTAGACTCGGAGATGAAGAGGAGAAGAATGAAGATGAGTCGCTAAAAAGCAAAAGTGATGCTCAGAGTGAGATCAAGACCGAGACGGTTAACAGTGCCAGAGAGGTTTCAGAGAGTTTGCTTGAAGATGAAGAGGAGGTGATGTCGGGAGCTGGAAAGGAAGCCTGGAAATCAGACCCTCGCAGCGAGAGCGTGGAATATGATTATTCCAGCTGTTTCACAGATGCAACCTCACAGATTTCAGAGCAGAGTCGAACATCAGAGTCTTTCAGGAAAAGCCGGGACTCCAGATCCTCTATGTCACACAGTGGCCAGGTTTTTGGTCAGCAAAAGAGGAGGTCTGCTCCAAAAGACAGAAAAAATGTGAAAGAGGCTGCAGTTCAAACACAGCTTGATGGCACACGCTATGCGTGGTCAAATGGTCAGAATTGTATACTAAGTTACTTAAGTACATTTAGCTACTGAAATCTGCTACTAATGTCTGGCTCTTTATCTCTGCAGGAACAACTATATTTGATCCTCCACCAGCCATGACCTACAGCCCTCTGGCTGCTTATACTCTCAGTGCAGACAGAGTGGAAGGTAAGAGTGAAGTCTCAGTGCTGTACTCTCTCTGTAGTTATCATTGCTGCAAGGTATAATTTTAAAAATATTTTGTGATGTTTGACCTTCCTCAGCTCTCAGCACCTTCAGTCCAGCTGCATTTGCACTCAACGAAGTCCTGAAACAGCATCTTGCCATGACTAGACGCTTTATTGAAAGTGCCCGACGCCTTCACTCCAGCCGTGTGCAGAGTCTGGAACCACCAAACTACAGATACACAACGTTGGAGGACACAAAAGAGGTGAATATCTACAATACTGCACACGCATCATTCACAAATAAAGTTCTTATGTTCACTATTTTTTTTCCCACTTATCACAGTTCATCCGAAAGCAGAGAGCTTCCAGGCTGATGGTGGATTAAAGGTGTTCCACAGGAAATGAGAGGCCACTTTTTGTTATCACTGACCACAGTGGAACCAAATGACCAAACCTCAATGTGCCAAGACCGCAACCAGAGACAGCACAAACCAGGAATGTGCCTTTGGAATTTTTATGCCCAAATGATTGGTTATATTTATACACATTTATTTTGTATGCTTTTTTTTTACTGTTTTTAAATACAAATTAAAATATTTTTGTCCTATTTGTTTAATTCTCTAATTTAATCTGTGTGTGCATGTGTTTATATTAAGAATAAATTAATTATTTTAAATTATAAGAAAAAGATTTCAGTTAGATAGATATTGCTTAATATAAAATAAAAAATGTATCTAGAGAGTGTCGCACAGACTTTCTGCTGTTGATTAACACAGCATTATGTGCGTGATGGATGTCATTTTACAAGTTAATTTTATAAGAATATTTTGTTTATATTTCACAAAATGTCGCGTTTCAATTACTAACAAACTAAAACGAAGCATCAAGACAAGTATTTATGTAGACAATATTGTGAGTGCCTTAATTTCCCAGGTTTTTAAACGCCTCGCGAGCAGTCACTTCACGTCATGACGTTGAGCGCCAAATTCGTTTGAGCGGAAGGCGCTACGGCAACAACTGTTTTGGGTGCTTTTTTAAAATTACTCTTTAATTTTTGGCATATTAGGGCGGCTTTTTCTTTTCCTAAGATGTCCCAACAAGCAGGCTATTCTCCCAGCTTCAAGCGACCCGCAGAAACTATGCGCATGAGGAGCAAAAGAGCTCGAAGCGACGCCGGTATCTTCGGCTCAAGCGGCCGGGAATCAACAAGCAGTCCTAGGGAAGGAGACTCGTCGCCGGCCTGCGTTCGGCCGTTCTCCCCGGGGCCGCTCTTTAACGCCCAGAACCGCTCCGGAGGAGGGACAAAACGCAGAAACCCGTTTGCAAACATTGAAAACACGTACAGTCCGAAAAAGAAGTTTGTAATATACAATGAAGACGATGGCAAGGCCGAAGTTTTGTCCCCACATTCGGAACACAAAGAAGGCGAAGACGCGTCAACAAGGACGCAGAGTCCCGCAGTTCTATCTTTCACTGCCAGTTTGACTAAAGCGGAGAAACAGGAGCAGCGACACATTTCCACCAAGGTTGGTTGTAAATACAAGATATTAACGTAGTTATACCAGTCTAACGTTTCTAACGCAGCACAGCAGACATTCTAGTTACTTCTATGACACATGCTGCAGCAGCTGCATCTGTCTTGGCCCGACAGTTTACTGCTGTGTTTCTGCTGTTGCATGAGAATAAGTTGAGCATTTGTTGGAAGTGTAAACTATTTTTCTATTTTCACATAAACCTGCCACCCTCTCCCTGGGTTATAGAAGAGCCTGGATTTCTCTGAAGATGATTCTCTGTTTGAAGAAGAAGAGGAGGCCGTTCAGAGTCCACTGTTGAAGGTTGGATTATTATTACCCCATCTCTTGTCTCATTTATACACATCTGTTTACATCATGCCCTCCCTGATCAACCTGTCCTATTCATAGAGCCCCCAGGCCATTACTCCTGCCTCCATTGCACCCCCGATGTGCACGGAGTATCCTGCAGATTGGAGCCTGAGGACGCGCCTCCTCTTCACCTCCCCTCTCTCCCTTTCTTGGGCCGAACAGCCTAAAGCACAGGAGGAAGCTGTGGGAATCAGTCAGCACTGTAGAGCTCGGTTTAGCTCTCTGCCTCCCAATCTGCAGGTGAACCTTTGGTACCACAATGACCTTAAGAAGTTTTTTTTTTCTATGTTTCTAAGTGTAGCTCCTCTGTCTCTCTGCTCCTGCAGGATCCCAGGTCCTGCTCTGAGCTCCGCAGTGCGTTCCAGCAGAGTCTGGTCTACTGGCAGAATCCGTCCCTGCCCTGGATCCGTCTGTTTCCTCGGATCAACGCAGAGAAGAACTTCACAGGGAAGTGCACCCCCTGGGCACATGATGTGACATTGCAGCAGAGTCTAATGAGTGAATGGTGAGGCAAAGGCCAGTGGCAAAAGTCAGTCATATATATATATATTGTTTTTGGTTACTTGAGGTCATGGCTTCTTCTCTTTTTATGTTCTGCACAGGTCGGTCAGTCTCTCGTCTCTCTACAGTCTCCTGAAGGCTAGACTATGTCCCTACTTCTACCTTTGCTCTTACCAGGTAACTGTTTGGGGGGCTTGGAGGGGTAGGAATTATTTTCTTCCAAATTCAGTGTTAGACAACTTAAATCTTTTTCTGTGACACCAGTTTACAGTGTTGTTCAGGGCAGCTGGTCTCAGTGGTTCCAATGTCATCACGGCACTGATTTCTCCTACAACCCGAGGCTTCAGGGAAGCAATGAAGGCTGAAGGTGAACTGACTTCATTCTATTTACTAAAAACAAAATTCAAGTCCTGTGTCAGTTTTTTTAGTTTATCATGGCTAAAAATATTAATCTCATAATCTTACTGCATATTATCAATGGACACTAATTATACACAAACAATTCACAGTTAAATTTTAGGTTTTTAGGTTTATAAATTTTAGGTTATTCAAACTAGCATGTATTTTTATGATAATTATTAGGCCAGGCATTTAAGAGCATATCAACCTTTATCAGGTTATTAAACATTAAATCACTTTAAATTGTTGATTAAAATGGCTTCACCCAACAACTCACTTCATACAAAAGAATATTGTGCACCATCCATTTCTTAAATACTCATATTGCTTCATTGTTCAGGGATAGAGTTTAGTCTCCCTCTAGTGGAGGAAAGGAGGAGAAGTAAGAGCCAACCAAATCTGACAGAACACCAGGGAGAAGAGGAGCTCAAATCGCAAGAGTGGGTGTATTTCTTTAAGATGCTTAAAGTCAAATCAGTGTTTTCTGGTGTGTTTTCACAAGTGGTAAAATTCTTCTTCATTAATCTTTTAATTGTAGTTGTTCTGAGCTGACTGAAGCTGAAGACGTTCAGACAGGGGGCTCAGTGGAGAATGATGGCTACGCTGATGAGGACAGCAGCTTCTCCTGGCTAAAGGAGATGGGCATCCAGGACAAGATCAAGAAGCAAGACGGCATCACCGTACAACTGTATCCTTGTCCGGAACTCAGATTTATCTGATGGGCATCATCAGTGCTCTTCCTGTGTGATGTTGTAGAACCACAAAAAAAATCCCCCAAAAAAGTCCCTGACCGTATTACCAGTCGTAAAGAGGGACACACAGTGTCCCTGGACCACAAACCTGAGTCTGTGGTCTGTGTAGAGGGACCTCACACGTTCGCCCTCATCAACTTCCTCATCAACTGCAAGAGTCTGGTGGCTGCAGCCGGGTCACAGGCCGGGCTACCACCAACGCTGCTGGCCCCTAATGCTTTCAAAGGGGCGACGATGCACACGCTAAAGGTACACAGCACAGAGTGAGAGAAAAGCACACACACAACTGCAGCCGCGTCTTTACCTTTAACTGTGTGTCTTTTCAGGCCCGCAGCGTGAATGTGAAGAGCCAGGTCGGTTCCACCTACCAGAACATCAGCAGTCTAGAAATCACAGGTATGCTGAAGAAGCTAAACATTTGACTCCACTTAAACAAATGCACTTATTTAGCGCACTTATTAACACAAATATGAAGTTGTCCTTACACCTCACAGCTCTTGGATTACATGTTTATAATTTATGCGGCACTAAAACCTCTTAAAAACCCGGATGAAGTTATTTTTTAGTTATATTTCACTTTGATCGTGTTGTGTTTTTTTTTTTTTTCTTGAAGGACCGATCCTCCCGTCCTCCCTCCATACCATTACCACGCTCCTTCGGCCTACGCAGAAAGGAAACTTCTCAGCTACACTTTATACCCACGCACCTACCGCTGTCATGAACTCTCACTCCTCCAAGTCAGAGGTGAGAAAGATGTAAACATGTTATAATTAAAGAAACAAAATGCAGTTGAGTTTCAGTAAACATAAGCAGATGTGACTGTAGATTGTACTTTTTTTATTTATACCCTCTTATAGATATTTCACACACCACTCTTTCTTTGTTTTTATAGTCATCTTGTGGATTTTGTTAAGTGCTCATGTTTGATCATGCGACTAGCAGTAGTGTGTATGTGTGCATTTATATGTAGAGAGAAAGAGAGTGTTGATATTCTTTGCTAAGCCAACAGTGATTAAACTCCTTTATGTGACATTCAGCTGGTGCATACTCAATGAAGTGGAGTTCACAAATGACAAGACAAAAGCAGAAGATACAAAATCAGTTCAATGGTCAGCTGATGCTTAGGTTGTCTAAAGCCCCGTGAGGTGTACTGTTGCCACAAAGTTAGGCATAGAAACTCGCTCTAACCGTCCTAAGAATCCTGCTGTTAGCGTCACTCACTGTACTGATTTTTTTTTTTTTTGTATGTTGTGTGTTTAGAGTACCGATAGCACGGTGGATCTGTCCAGCTGTGGTCTCCACCCTGCTTCTCTCCAACAACTGCAGCAGCCCTCCAGCCTGGGCAAGAGCGCACTGACGCACATCAGCATGAACAACTACAGCTACACGTGGAAGAACTGAAAGGAGTCTGAGCTACACACGCATGGAACACTCACACATACATGCGGGTGTGTATATATATGTACACGCCCTAGACATTGTCTTTTTAAGTGATTGATTTGGTTTTTATATAATTGATCCTAAAAGACTTTAATGTAGACAAAGACTTTTTGTAAATAGATTTTAAGTACTCTGAATTAACTGATGTATTTAAACTGCCCAATCTAGTCCTGAGAAAAACAGTCCTTATGAAAGCACACAGTAAATGTTTAAGTAACTCTTGCACAATAACTGTAACTCAGGTACTTTCCAAAGTGACACATCTTGGATTTTAATTACAAAGTTCAGTGTTTTCTGCCTGGTTCTAAACCTTACTGAGACATAGGTGTTTACAATTAGATAGTGTGTGCTTTGTTATTGTGTGTTGACCATTAAAACTTCATGTCAAGATAAACAGCTCTATCACTTTTGTCTTTATTTGTTCTTGGTATGACCAGCTTTGCTTTTGTATTTTATAATGAAACAATTTTTTGTTGTTTATTTCCAGGCTTGAATTTTAGAGCTCTATTGTATCCATCATCAGTCATCTGTAGAGAGCCGGCAGAGACATTTATGTAAATAATGTCACCATAATTAGTTATTGGTAAGAAAGTAGCAGCCACAAGCTTTTTCTGGCATTGAAAGGAAAACAGCTTTTGCCGCTAAAGACTTTTCTTTTTTTTTTTTTTTTGAAGACTTTTACGTTCCAGCTAACTTTTTCTCAGTTAAGCTTGGCTTTCAAAGTGGTTAAAATAAAGCAGTTATTTTTGTAATTCTTAATTATTTTCAACTTATTTTCAAATACTTATCTGTTTTTAATTTTTTTAGCTTTTTGATTTATTGAATTGAATTAATCAGACTTTGTTTCTGTGTTGGGTTTTTTTAGAGATCTGTTGACAAATTTGACAAATCTTGTTTTGGCTAAATTTTTAAATATTTGATTTTAAAGGACAACGCATTGTGTTGTAAAACTATATTGCTTGGATTTAAGTAACATTTGTTAAATACTCCATTCAGAAGGAAACTTTTATCAGCTTAAGAGAAAGACTTTTCAGGAAAAACTGAACTTAAAGCCATACAACAAAACGTGATCAGTGACACACCCTGTGATGAGTCAGTCATGAGGAAACTCTAGTCTTACTTCACTGCAGGAAAGTACATGTCGAAACTATGTCCTGATGGCAAAATAAGCTCATGACTCCTGCAGCACAGTTTTATAAAAATAAATGTATACTTTGTTCATTCGTGACCAATCACAGAGCAGGGTGAGATACATGAAAACAAATAGAAGAGGAAAAGTTAAAGGCAGACAAGAACACTGAAGGTAACGAATTCTCTCTGTATAAAAATGCTTTATTTGTTACCCTTTCTGCTAAAATGTACCCTTGAAACAGTAGTTTCAATGGTTCAGTAGTTTGTATTACAAAAAAACTGTTGTTTTCACTACAAGAAATAATACAATTAAAGGCAACTCTTCTGTTTCTCAATTCTAGAAAGAAAATGAAAGGTGCTGCCTTTGTCTTTGTCGTCCTGGTGCTGGCATTACTGTATCAAGGTGTGTTTTTTTTCTTCTTTTAATGAATCAAAATGCTGGTGAATAGATTCATTTGTTTTTATTTTGCCTCGTTTTGTCAAACTAGATTTAAACTGTATTATCAAGAGTTGGCCAAGTGCAAGCAAATGTATGTGAAGGGGAAAAATGCATTTATAACAGCTACATATAAGTTTACATTCAGCTAATATGTTGAAAAAAAACAATTTTATTATATTTTCTCACTCAGCATAAATTTTGTGGCGCTTTGGCCCAGAGGCAATGTCTCTGTCATTGGTGTGGAACCCCCATTGTAATTCTGGGCAAGTTCGAATCCCAGTTAGGGCAGTTGGTACCTTCCAGTGGACTCACCACCCGCAGGAAGGTTTGGGGGGGTTGGTACGGTGCAATGTGATTTGGGTGGAGACTGCTGACCCCGCGTCCCGGTAACGGATAAGCGGATGAAAATGGATGGATGGATGGATGGAGCATAAATCCCAAACTATTATGATAAAAACAAAGGAATGTTTCTAAATAAATATTACTGTTTACTTCTCCAAATACTGTTTGCGTTGTGTGGTTTCTCTCCCTGCAGGCGAGGCTCTGACGTGTAACTACTGTAAATCGAGACAGAAAGGCCTCTGTACTGCCACCACCACTCAGACCTGTTCTACACTTTCAAATGTCTGCGGTGCTTACCAGATCCCTACCCCATATATACGTGAGTTTGTTTTTCTTTGTGCCACTATCTTTACATTATAATCTTTAAACCGTTCACACACAGGTCAGTGTTTTCCTCAGCAGACACATAAAATAAATGTAACTAACATCTGAATAATTTTGGACTCTGTTTGTGTAACAGTGATGATGTCAGACTTTGTTTTCACGCTCAACTTTTTATTTGAATAATTTCAGGAGTCTCAGTGCGTGGCTGCATGACTTCATGGAAGTGCAACGCCTTCAAGAGATTACGGAAGACAAACGCCACCTGCTGCTCGACGGATCTATGCAACTGAGTTTTCTAATATTCACTATGTTAATCCAAAACACTGTCTTTTTGAATCATCACATTATAATTTAATTAATGTCTGTACTCCTTAATCATAACACTATCTTTCTGTTCTGAAATTTTATTTGAAGACCAACAACTCTATCTGCGATTTCTCTGATTTGCTTCAGAGCTGTCACTGAAGAATTTCTTCTACAGGAAGATATTAACAACATAAAAGCATTTTCAATAAAGACTATGGAGACATCAAAAGTAATATTGTCCAAAACAAATCAAACCAACACGTGTGTGAGTATTCACATTTATAAACTTAAAAAGGTTGGGGTTTTATAAACATACAGGTACTGCAGTTATATAGATGGTAATGTGTAGGTATTCCTTTATTAAACAGAATGTCTTTAAACTAACACTAGACAATAAATCAATAAAACTAAGAATTCACATGATAAAATAAAGATAAAAATAGCAGAACAGAAAGTGAGCAGAGCTTTTGAAAACACTGTCTCCTTCTGCAACAAACAAGGTGTTAATTAAACTGAAAAGCACTACTTCCACTTTCAATTTACAAATGAAGACAGATGTTTGGTGAAAAAAAGGAAATCTAATGGTAACTTTAAACATTACAGTCTCTTTTTTGTCTACTTCCAACCCACTGTAAACTGAGTAGGCTTATTGACATCAAGATGTCAATGTCCTATTTTCCATTCCCTTTACTCTGACTTTTAACCTTTTTTGTTTTAGCTTAAATAAACAGTAAATAAACAGTCCAATAGTCACAGTGTAGTGTTTGTGAGGCCAGCCTTTCAAAACAATGGTTTAAGAAATAAAAAAAAAAAACTATTGGAAATGGTTAGAAACATTGTCCATTTCTCAATCTGTAATGTCGTTGTTACACAAGAATGTGAATCACATCCAAATCCTAATTACAAATTTTCTATACTTTAATAAACCCATGAAGCTCTTGATTTATACTAACATTCTCCAGAATAACATAATGAGAACAGCATCGCAGCCTTAGATTTACTGCTGGAAACTCTCTGATGTTGCAATGCCTGGATAAGTTGCTGCCTGTCACTCTGTAAACAAGAGTTCAGGCTTCAGTTTTCTGGATGGAATGGTTTCCAATGGTTGGGAACTTCCACATGAGGGATTTCCATATTTAACCATCACCAAATTACCCATAATTAAACTTATGAAACAAAGCAACAGATTTAGTTTTTTTATTGCAATACAGTAGGTTTCACTCGCTCTCTGTTACATTATACTGTTGATACAAGAATCAGCAGGTATTTCATTTAATTGTGGCTGTGAAAATGTCTTCTGCAACTTCAACAGTTTAAATTGCGTAACTTCTGTAAACCTGTTGTGTGACACCGCTGAAGAACTGGAGCTGAAGGGAAAAAAAAGGAAGTAGAACTGAAAAAAACAGGAACGTCTTTCCTTCCTCAACAACATTTATTTGAAAAGGTTTTGCATCTAAAGTATGTATCGTGCGTTTGTGTGCAATTGAAAGAGGTCAGTGTATTATTATTGCAGATTTGCATGTCCCATGTCTGATTACCCTTCATGATCCACCGGGAAGAAGCCATTGAAATTTCAACAATTGCCTCGCTATTTCACAAAATAGTTTGAAAAAAAGAAATGCATGAAAATGAGGTACCAGGTAGCTGCAAGACAAATATCCAAGATAATTTGGGGAGGAGGGGGCTATTTACTCCAGAAAAAAGTTGACATTTTAAATAGCTGAACGTTAGCTTGCAAGATGGCCAAAGACTACTAAAACTGGAGAACAATAACCCCTCAGACAGATAATTTCCAAAATTGCAGAAAAAAGAAAAACTAAATCTTAGCCAGAAAAGTAAATAAAATTGGTGACATTTCAAAATAGCCAAAAGACAGCTACAAGTTAGCAAAGAGTGAAAAATGTTCAAAGTAAAAAAAAAAAGCTAAAATGAATTAACCAACTTACTTGATTCTAGGACTGAACATTGGCTATTATAAATTATTATTATTATTATTATTATTATTATTATTATTATTATTATTATTATAAAAAACAAAACAAAAACGTCGCGTAATTCGTTGAATAGGAGGTTGTACTTCCTGTCAGCGTCGACCAATCATAGCGTAGAGAAAGCATGAAAAGAAGAGAGCAGCTCCAGATTTTTTGAAAGAAACTTAGAGTAGACCGACGGAGCTTCCAAAAAAAGGTAAGACGTCTCATCTATGTACTTATGAGTTTAATGCTACGTTTTATAGTAAACTGTTTTGAAATGTGTTCACGCGGAAAGTCTACCGTATGGCACTCACCTTTTGTGCTTACGTCAAGTAACTTTTTCCTCAAAAGTTGTACTTTAGGATTGTACTTCCTCGCGTTTCCATATTAAACTTAAAGTTTGGCATCTTAAAGAGATATTATTTCATTTTTTAGTCTGAGTCAACAAATGCATCCACCAAATTATTATTATTATTTTTTTTTGTAATTCTTTGTGTTTAGATTGAAGACTGAAAATGAGATCTACTTTGTGTGTCAGTGTCCTCCTCGTGCTGGCTCTGCTGCATCAGGGTAAGTTTATTCTTTTAAAATATGACAAATATTTTATAAAAGAGTTTTTGCAGATACATCCTCTTTATTTTGCATCTGTACAGTGTGATCCCTCCCAAATATAATAATATAAATAATAACAACAGGAATAATAATAATGATAATAATAATAATAAGTCTCTTCATCCCACAATGGGAAACCTTACAGTGTATGGATATGTGGTTCCTTTGGGAATTTAACCCAGGACTCCCTGCTCTTTGTACCTCAAGTACATCAAGTTACTTTTAGCAATTCACATCCTAATTGTTTGTGCAGATTTTCATCATTTCTGCCTCTGCAGGCGAGCCCTTAGTGTGTAACTACTGTTTTGGAAAGGGGAGCTCTCTCTGCACTCCCACCTCCAATCAGACCTGTTCAAGAGGAGTTGACGGCTGTGCAGCTGTCATCCTGACAGGAGCATTGTGTACGTAAGAAATATTTAAAAATATAGCAGTAAAATAATAATAAGCAATTTGTATTTTTTTAGTCTGTGTGCTATAAAAATGACCAAAATTTGATTCATTATTTCAGCCGCTAACTTTCGTTCCTGCATGAACATGGCTGTGTGTCAAGGCTACGTGCAAACGCCAGGTGCCTTTGCTACATGCTGCAGCACAGACCTCTGCAACTAGACGTCTTTATCGCAAATTCTTTGGAAATTTTTTTTATAATCTTTGCTTATATGCCCTGTATTTTTTTCTTATTGTTAAAAAAAATGTAGACTGGTGTCTGTCTCTCTTTTTTATTTTCTTTTTAAATATATAAACCATTGTCACTAGAATTTACCTTTACTTGGTGCAAATGTTCACTTTTTGTGAAGGTCCAGTTTTATAACAGGGATTTCCAGCCATTGTTGTCTTCAGACTTCAGACCAGGGGTGGCCAACCAGTCAAGAGGCTAAGAGCCACACGTCATGCGTACATCTTTTTATCTGTACGAATTGGGTTTTCCCTAAGTAATATGTGTCAACACCCATTGTCATGAGATTGGCATAGCATAAAAAAATCACAAACCTAAAATTCAACATGAACATAAGAGCCGCATGAAACTGGACAAAGATCCGTATGTGGCTCCTGAGCCGCAGGTTGGCCATGCCTGCTTTAGACACTTGACACAGTTTGGCATTTTGTCTTGACTACCAGGTTACTACAATATTAACACAAACCTCAGAATGTTGCTTGCATGACCCCTCCCCCCACAATTCTTTTTGGTTTAATAAACCAAAGAAAAGTTCCTTTGAATGTCAGCTTTGAAAAAATAATCTTCCTTCTACCTGAAGAAATTGGATTGTTTTGAGAATTTGTCAACCAGATTTAAGTCCTTTGAGAAAGATACTCTCCACTATCACTAGATGGCAGTAGAGCAACGTGGAGCAAGGGCAACTTCCGCATCACTGTGTGTGTGGGTGTGTGTGCATGGGAGGTGGTGGATGAAGTGGAGGTGTGCGGTGGGGGGAGGGATGCGGGTCAATATTAATAAAACAAATAACGAATTGAGTGACATTTCGGTGCCTTCCTTCTTTATGATGAATTGGAATGACACACGGCAAAGGCTGATCAATTATTGTAGCCAAATTATCTCACCTGCAGTGTAATGAAGGATTATCTTTTCCATGCAGAACATATGCAAATGTGATACATTTCTCTGTCTTGAGCAAAGATCAGCGGAAATAGAGACAAATGTGTTCGTCTTCCTGAAGGCCTGCCCCTCCCTCCACTCCCAGGAGTTAGCCAACAGCTGAGTTTGGCTCTGTTTAAAGGCTACACACTGACATGGCTGTGGTCAGTATGGAAGTCAAACGGGCTTGAGGAATAGTTTATGCTACTATAAAACAAATGTATTTACATTTGAACCCCTTTACAAAACATTGTTCTCCATGACCATTAACTTAATGTATCATTTGTTAAAAAATATTTCCAAAGCCTCATCTCACAGCTGGTTGACATCTCTGCATCACTGTTAGTCTAAAATTCTCAGTTTCTGGTCTTGAAAATGTTTCAGTACAATTCTCCTGTGCATTCAGTGCATGTGCTGTCAACACTATAAACAAGTAGGTTTTTCTTCTAATCACCATGCAGAAAACCAGCTTTCTGGCCTGGCCACTCCTCATTGACAACCAGTGATGGCCAGCTCTGGGCAGAAATGTTCATCATTTGTCCAGTCAGCATGTATTGAGCTTTAGGCAATGACAAAAAGCTTTCCAAGTGCAGCCCCAAGAAGGTTGGGTTTATCAACAGGGTTTAATGCGCTCTTACACCATGGAAACATATGAGAAGAATATCCCAGTAGAAAATCTGTGATAAACTGGTATTAATGAACCAGTCACATAGTGGGTTGGGTTTTAACTTTTTTTAACGAATTTAAAGGCAGCTGAACACGTGTGTCTAATTAGTTTTGCTGCTATTCCATTATTGTTAAATCTTGAAACACAACATTTTTTAACAGGGTTTGTTTGGAATGCCAACGAACTTCCTAAAGGGATCGGTAAAGAAATTCTAGATTAGACAACAACCGGTAAAACATTAATTTTATACCAGTTAAATTGACCAGTAAATTGCGTGTGCTTAAAAAAATCAGCATAGATTAAACTTTTTTTTTTTTAAATGTTCAGAAAACTGGATTGTAATTTAACATTTCTGTCATCTCAACCTGGGACATCCACACTGTCATCTGTCAACAAGGCTGTAAGTGGTGCAGATTATCCAAACTGTTACGGTGGTTAAGGGCTGGTACTCAGAGCACGTCCGCTGTGAGGAAGACCCCGGGGCAGAGCTGGAGGGAAAACATTTCCCATCTGTCCAGGGATTCGACCGGGAGCAGATGGAGGGAACTGCTGGAGGAGCTTCTTCTCTGGACTGTGATGCTGTGTTTGATGCCACTGCCATAAAAAAAAAAAACCGAAAAAGAAAAAAAAACTTAAATGTATTTTAGATGAAGCAGTTTTTACACTGCAACATTGATGATATTTTAGAGAGAAAAGAACAGCTCGAAACAATTTATCTGCTCTAATAAATAAAAACCTGAAGCCATTGTTTTACCTTGAACCCCAGTAACACTGATCTCACATGAGAACTAACATCTGGAGAGAAACAGTAAAACACACTAGAAGACCTGGAGGATTACCAACTTCTCCACTATTTAACAAGGTTTACTCCATTCAGTGGGGCTCCCCTTCCATCACCACTGCATGAGTGTGAGGCGGAAATAACAAACATGATGTCCACATGTTCACCACAGGGACCCCCAATGGTGAAAAGTGGGATTTCACCAAGACTCAAGCTGCGAAGAGGGAAACGTACACAAACAAAAATGTGCAAAACAATGAAACATTACAGTTACCCCAGCAACATGAGTGAAAACATTAACTTTACCATCACAGGAGACAAATTATCAGTTCAACACTACGTAAATCGTTTGTAAAATAATTC